ATAGACTTTTTTATTGGAAACCCTTTTCCAATAAAGCCCCATGTTGATCCTTTTGAGTCATAATTTCTATGGTAGACTCATCACCGAAGCATACCTAAAGAAAATGGAACACAAAACAATAATCACTAAATATAAACACTGGAATTGTAGAGGAAAAAATTATTTTAGTATTATAAAAATTTGTTGATTTCCAGTCATAAACAGTGAAACTACTGTTCTTCTTTGCCCAATACAGGCTTTTTTCTCTGAGAATTAGTTAATTTTGGCTTTTGTGCAGGCCTTCTCCTACTGATGTCCAATTCATGGGAACTAGTAGATACTAAGCCATATTTAAAAATGTGGTTGTTCTGTCAGCATATTGGGATGTATATTAGGCTCAGGCGTTAGCTGTCATAAAATATACGAAGGAAGATTAAACCAGTATCAGTATCCTAACATTTTGGAAAGTGCACTTATCCCTAGTGGCAATTTGTTTTAGGTTAATCAAATCTGGTTCAACAAGGCAGTATTACATACCATACAGCACATTCAATCACTGAATATTTTTTTGAAAGTCTGACTCATGCCTTGGCCAGCACGATCACCTGACTTTAACCCAATCAAAAATTTATGGAGCTGGATTATCAACTAAAGAAAAAGCAATTAACTAGTCACAAAATACTCAAATATGAACTGACCAAACTGAAAAATCGATCAAGATTATTAAAAACTTAATTAAATCAATACCAAGGTGAATTCAAGCATGTATTTAAAACAATGGGGGTAAAATCCCATCTTAATATATTTCGATTAAATAGGTTAGATTAAGATTAAGGTGCATTTAAACTTTATTGCTTTTTTTTCTCAGTAATCTTTTGATTACTTGAGTTTAATATTTAATTTCAGAAAAGATTTTGTTTTTTTTATTTAAAGTTTTTTTTTTTTTTCCTTATTAATAAGCAGCTAAAAAAAAAAATAACAATATAAAATTATTTTTAGGGTGCTAACAATTTCAGGTGGACAAACGACATCTGTTAAACTCATGACATTTGTGTTTTGTCATTTGTGCTGTTTAGCTATGTTTCTTTAAGTGGAGTAATATTTTTTGTTAACTTATTGTGATTAGATATACCCTTTTAATAAAGGATGTGGATTTGCTATTTTAGATTTAGAATCAGCAATAAAAAAAATTACAGAACTTTGTAATTGCACTATTTTTGCTGTCGATTCTACACAAAACTTTCTTTGTCTAATTCAACTCTCAGTAAACTGAAAAAAAAGGAAAAATATTTAATAAAAAACTAATGATAAAATATATCTATTTGATGCTGTTCCACCTAGATTATATAGATGCATTAAAGCACATAAAAGTGATAAAGGTTACCCTATGCAAACTATAGTTTAAACTATTGGTACACCAGCTCATAAACTTTTGCAACATCTTGTTGAAATAATACAACCTACATTTGATAAAAACAAATGCAGAGTTAAAAATTATTTTTCATATGTATCTGAGGCTTAAGAATGGATTATCGAAAAAAATGAAATTCAGGTTTCGTTTAATGTTATTAATTTGTATTCATCTATTTCACTAGATAAAGTAACAATTTATCGAGTTTAGTGCTATCCAACAAACTTTAACCTTAATTACTGCATCAATAACTTATAAAAAGTATGTTGATACTAGTCACGCTTGATTTTCTAATATTGACAAGGCAAATTGTTTTTTATAATCTTTTCTTTCACTCGATATGAACTCTTCCTCAACTTTCTTTGTCTTCCTTGGTGCGCAAATCTTTTATATAGAGATAAGCTAAATTGCTTGCAGGTTTGTTTTTAAAGTAATCTTTTTTCATTAATAAATTTTTTTTATTTATAAAACAGGCTAATATTGCTTGTGGGTTTGTATTTTTTTAAATATAATTTATTTCCTTTTATTTTCATTTATTTTCCCTTATATAATTTATTATTCCCTTTTATTTTCATTTATCGTTACATTTTTTTATTTTTAAGATCGACTAAGATTGCTTGTGGGTTTGTTTTGTTTGTTGTTTTTTTTTTATCTTTTTTTTTTTTTAATGTTTTATAAAATTGAAAAAATAACTTATATAAGTTTTGTTTAATATTAATATAAAAATATACTACATATGTGGGAGGACAAGGGTGGAAATGCAAATATTTGTACTTTATGTTGTTTTACTTTGATATAAAAAATTATTGATCCTTTGATCAGGAAATACTCTGTTTCTTTGATAAAGATGAAAAGCTCAATTTAATTATAAATGTCTTGACAAATGCATCACTAAATATCGTAGCTCCCTGTAAAGACTAAAAAGTAGAAAATAAAATATAGCAAAAACATTTGCTAAATAATAAAATCTTTTTTGTACTAAAAAGTAGAAAATAAACTTTTTAATTTAAATTTAATAGTTATTTAAAGGTTAATAGGTCTATATAAACCTTGTGCAGACCTGTCAATTTTTTGGTTTAGACCAATTATTAAATTTAAGTTAAAAAGTTTATTTTCTACTTTTTACTACAAAAAAGATTATATTTTTTAGCAAATGTTTTTGCTATTTTTTATTAGATATATGTTATAAGATACCGCCATTCAGTATACTATTGAGTACCAAAGTTCTCAAAATCAACTCAGTTTTCTAGGCGTTTGTATTTTCACCAATCAATTTCTTCATAAATACAAAATTTCAATATATCGTAAGCAAGCAATTACTAATATATTAATTACCACATTCTTCAATTTTACCTAATATAGCAATAGGTATTTTTAAAGGTTTTCTTTCAAGAGCATATAAAATATGTTCAAAACAAAATATTCAGAATAAAAATGAGTTTCTTGTTAATGTGTTTTCCCAAAATGAACACTCATACAAACAATTTTCAGATATCATCAAAAATTATCACATAAAAATACAATAAACCAGCAAATATACCCTGGAAAAATTGTCATACTGCTGTTGATACGGAAACTAAGTATTATACTTTAAAGAGAATTTCATAGAGTAAGTATAAAATCTGCTTTTCTCTATGGTAATTCTTAACATAATATGTCACAATAAATCAATATTGCATCCAATTATTTATTCTGGTGTCTATCAGTTAGATTGTTCATGTGGTGTGAGTTATGTCGGTGAAACAAGAAAATTTCCACATGCATTAATTAACACAAGAAAAATATAACTAAAGGTAACTGGGATGCATCAGGAATCAAGGTTGGCAAAAACCCAGTTTTTTTTTTTTTTTTAACTCGGCCCAGTAGATTTTTTTGTTGGTAATTTTGGGTTTAATTTGGTAAATTTGGGTTTTTTTGTTTGTGACTAAAACAAGGTAGTCTCCTCAACTGTAGTTGCTTTCTCAGCTATGGGGGGTGAATAACAAAAAAATTGCAATCTATAAAAATATTGTAATAAAAATTGTGATAATGTATTTTCAAATAATGATTCAAATATTAGTAAACCTGCTCTGATAGCTGTTATTGTTGGTTATAATAGTTAATAATAATAGTTGTCAATAATTTAGTTAACAATAATTTAGTTAACAATAATAGTTGATAATTAATTTAGTTAATAATATAATAGTTATAATATTAATGTTGATTATAATAGTTCATAAAATTATAAAATATCTTTAAAAAAACCCAATAAGATTTTTTTAAGCAGGTTTTATTGGGTTTTATATGGCAGGTTTTTTAATGCCAACCCTGTCAGGAATAGTTGAGCACATTCAACATTGTAGTGGTTCAAATAACTGGACTAAACCAAAAATAATTTCTGTTACTCCTAATAACTATAGGCGTAAGATCCACAAAGCAATTAAAATACAGCGTTTATAATGCTCTAAATCACACGAGAATGTCTAAAATCCCAACAACTGTAACTTAATGATGGCACGCCATTGGAGACCAGTTTTTGCTAAACTTTACAAGTCTAAATCTGCTAGGTTGCAATAACATCATTTTTGTTTTAATTTTTATGAATTTTGAATAACAGTTTTTTAGTTTGATTATTAATAGCTTATACTAAATAAGTCAAAATATCACTAAATAATTAAAATAATATATATATAATTAAATAATTAAAATAATATATAACCGAACATAATGCTTTTTATCATTTAAATATAAAATATATTCTTAAAGATGTCACTTAAACAATATATACATAGAAATATAATTTATTATTTATAGAAATATAATTATTTAAATAAAATCATAATCGTATAACTCTGTCTTAACTCAAACCCTTAGTCGATGTAGTAACACCCCCTTGCATGTATATATAAATTTTAATAATTTTATAATATACTTATTATAAAAATTATTTGTTGTTTGAATTTCAGTGATTTAAGCAACAATCCTGAGCTAAAAACTGTTATAGTCAATTCGTTTGCATCCGAATGTGAAGATATCAAGTCTGCAGCATCTTATGCATTAGGTAACTTCTTTATCTTATGAATTAGGTAACCTCTTTTTGCTTTTTCTTTACTTTTTATAGCCTATTATTAGTAGATAAAATGATTAGTCAATATTATCAGTAGATAAAATGATTAGATATGGTTCAATAGACATTAAAGACAATATCAAAGTTTAAATAAGAAAAGTAGCTGCCTTTGAATTAAAATATTTTTACAATTATTTTTTTTTTGTAAATTAATTTTTGTTAATTAAATTTTTATTTCAAGGTCATTTATGTGTTGGAAACTTAACTGCCTACTTGCCATTTATATTGGATCAAATTAAGATGAATACCAAGAGACAGTATCTTTTGTTGCATTCGTTAAAAGAGGTTTTATTAAATGTTTAAAAGGAATTGCTGATAAAGTTTTTACTATTTTTTTCTTTATGCTGATAAAGTCTTTAATGTTTTTTTCTTTATTATTGATTTTTATACTTATTTTATTTAATACTATTATGATTTTTATACTTAATTTTATTAGGTGATTACTTGTCAGTCAGTATCTCAAACTCCTTCTATTCTTCAACCTTTTCTTCCGGCAATTTGGTGAGTTTAATTTAATCTCACACTGTTACAATGACTATAAAACAATCTGTGATCTATATGTAATCATTGTTATCAATAAACCTATGTTTCAAGTCTTGTAGATTTTGTTTTTGACTCAACGTCAGTTTAATTAGATGAAAAAAAATACATTTAAGTTTAAATTTAAAAAAGTAAAGATTTAAAAAAATTTAAGTTTAGATTAGGAAATTTTGAATGAACAAGTAATTTTTTTTTTTTTTTTCATGCTCCTAAAGATTTTTTTTTTTAATAAATTAAATGAAAAAAAAACATAATTTTATTGATTGTGATTAATGAAAAAAGTTTAAATTAAGAAAACATAAATTCTATGATTGTGGTTACTGAAAAAGTTTTCAAAATTGCTTAAAAATTACAAATGCTTAGTTTCTGGGCTAAAATTAAAACGCAATGGAGTTCTCTGCTGGAAGTTTCTTTATTGTGTTTCTCAAAATATTTCAAGATACATGTTTTCATTTACTTAAATTGTTAGCCTATGAAAGCATTTTTTTTTATTGCAGTTTGTTTTTATAAGTTTAGTTTTTTGTTGTTGTATATTTTAAGCCTTTTTAAATTATTTCTCAAGGGGTTTGCTATTTTCACATTGCGAAAGTAAAGAAGAAGGGACAAGAAATGTAGTTGCTGAGTGTCTTGGAAAGCTAACGTTGATAGATCCTGTTAATTTACTTGAACAGTTACAAGTAATTATTTCTTAATCTTTCTGAATTAATAAAAAACTTTTGATTTTGAATTTAGTTTGTTTTAAAATTAAAAATGCTGTTACTGTTACAATTAGCAAAAAATGTTAGTCCGCAAGCACAATATAATATTCATAATTTCTGAATGTTCTCATTGGGTCAGTGACTAGAATAATTTTAAAAAATTTACAAGTTTAACTCTAACATAATATTTATTAAAGTAAAAATAACAGGACAGAACTGTTTTTTTAAACCTATTGGTTATATATGCAGATTATTTCCACATTTTTTATTTGATTTTTATGTACCTATTTTGAGATTTTGAATAAGATCAATTATGTTTTATCTCTTTTTAAATTGGAAAAACAATATGTAAATATGAACAAAAAATATATATTTACAAAAATTCACATTTCTTCAATATTTACAAAAAAGTAAAAAACAATTTGTAATGAATGTAATGAATAGAGATGCTACTACCAAAACTTCACATTTTTTTATGTTATAGTATTCCATATAATGTTTAAACACAAAATTTGTCTAGTAAAAACCAAGTCTATTAATTTTGTATATTGCTAATTATATCTAATTTATAATTTTAGGCTCGTTTGACCTCTCCATCATCTGTGATGCGCAGTACTGTGATTACGGCCATTAAATTTACTATTATAGATCAACCACAACCAATTGATTTATTATTAAAACAATGCCTACATCTATTTCTACAACCTCTTGTTGACACTGATTTGGTGCGTTTTATTACTTTACTTTTATTTATTTGTTTTTAAACTATTGTATTTTTTTAATCAACTAATATTAAATATGATGTATAGAATGTTCGTCGAGTAACTTTGGCAATGTTCAATTCAGTAGCTCACAATAAACCAGGATTAATACGAGATTTACTCGTCAATTTGCTGCCGCATTTGTATAATGAGACAAAAATCAGAGTTAGAAATCTTTGTTTAATTTTTATAATATGTTAAATACGTCGAGATTTTTCATTGAGAACAATGCAATAAAAATCTTTTATATTTAGAAAGAACTTATAAGAGAAGTTGAAATGGGTCCTTTCAAACATACTGTAGATGATGGTCTTGATATTCGAAAGGTTATATTTTTTAAATTATTTTTTATTTCATTTTGATTTTTCTTGTTTTTTAAATAAATTTAAATTTTAGGCAGCATTTGAATGCATGTATACACTGATTGACTCATGCTTGGACAGAGTGGATATTTTTGAATTTTTAAATCACGTTGAAGATGGTTTGAAAGATCACTATGATATTAAGGTATTTTTGAAAAAAAAATTTTTTATTGTAAAACCTTTTTTTTAAACTATTTATAGAAAAGTTTCAATTTTTTTGTAATGTTTAAATGTCATCTAACTCAGGATAAACAATATAATTTATCTTAAAGATAAAAATATGACTTATAAGTTTAATACATCTAAAGCAATATTTTATAAATATATAAACATTTTTTAAAATAATAGTATTTCTATATAAATTAATATAAGCAGATAAATAAATTTTGTAGTTATATCTAAATGTATTTTAAATGAATTAGTTGTGTGTATAAATAATTACTTTTGTGTAAACACTTAATAAACTAAATTTGTAATGAAAAAAAAAACGTTTAGTTGTAACAAAATATTTTTATGAGATAAATTATACAGGAAAAATCATAGAATCAATAATAAATCATAGATAACCTATAGAATTAATGTTTTTCAGTTTTATATTATAGATATTAACATACTTAATGATTGTTCGATTATCGACATTATGTCCAATTGCAGTTTTACAGCGTGCGTATTTTTAATTTTTATAAGTTTTCTGTTTTTGCTATATATATATATATATATATATATATATATATATATATATATATATATATATATATATATATATATATATATATATATATATATATATATATATATACACATATATATATATATACACATATATATATATATACATATATACATACATACACGTGTTTTAAATATATATTGTTTTCATATTATAGATCTGGATCGTATTATTGAACCCCTTCGTAGTACAGTTCAGGCCAAAGTAAAAGCAAATTCAGTCAAGCAGGAATACGAAAAACAAGACGAACTTAAACGTTCTGTTTTAAGGGCTGTTGTTGCTCTCAAAAATATACCTGATTCAGGTAAGAATCTCAAGATCATTAGTATAGCAGTTTTCTTCAATCAGTTAGTTTTACCTTTATTTGTGCTGCAATGCACGCTACTTTTTTTTTATCGCAATATATGCACAAAAACCGACCGGTATACAAACAGATTTTTCCCCCAAAGTACACACCCGTTTGCTTAGTGTAAAGAAAATGGGGTTAAGCTTAAAGCAAAGACTAATATATTACTACTATACGTTATATAGAAATTTTTTTATTCACAAAAAAGTTATAAGAACAGGTTTTTTCATATACTTTTACATAAAATGAAAACACACAATAAAAAAGTTATAGAGCAAATACAAAAAACTTGCTAAGGTGTTGTTTAAACTAATTTTCAAATAATTCAATTTATAAACTTAAAAGTGTGGGTAATGCCAGTGCCCAAATGGTATACACAGAAAACAGCACACCGCTGCTAACGTGCCGTACAACAATCCAAGACATATACTCTCCACAACGTTTCTTCTTCGTCTTCGTTGTTCATTGTGTACAAATTCTGGCTGTGAATAAAGAACTTGTGGCTGATACGGATTGTAAATGTAGTAATATCCAGAAGACATTTTATGAGAAACTAATTTCCGATTTCGTTAAAATTCTTATAATTTCAGAATAGTATTTTTTCTTTATTAACTTGTGGTACATTTTCATTTCTGATCGTGTTGAATTATTTTAATAATTTAGTTCCATTTGTCATCTTTAATATTTAATAATTCTGATTTATTCAGCGGAAGTATTACAATTGCTTTGTTTGAAAACAGTTTTCTTAATTAAAAAAATTCTCAAAAAAAATATTATGTTTTATCCTCAAATTTCGTAATTTTTTTTTTTCTTTTAAATATGATTTTGGTTTTGAATGTTATAAAACCCTTTGTAACAATTTATCTGAAAACTATGAATACAGCGTTACGTTTTATATGAGAAGTTTTGATTGGTTAATAACTTTAAATATGACAAATTATATAACGTTATTGCTATTCATGATTGGTTACATAATATTAAATGAACTGTGTATAATTTTTATTATTTTTTATTTGTTATATAACATAACCGTTTGTCATACTTTTTCAAAAATTTTGAAAAAAAAATGATGCTCAAGGTTCTTTTATTTTTTTTGTTTTGTTTTTAGATTTAAATCCGATATTTGCTGATTTTATCTCTCAAATTCGTTCAAACCCTGAAACTTCGATGATGCTTGATTCTGTACAAACAGACTCAAATATTATTTCCTCTTCTGAGAGTATGGATAACCTTTGAACAAACGAAAAAAATTTCTACAAAGTATGGAGAACGTATGTGATTGTTTTGTTACTGCTCATCGTCAATGTTTCGAGAATATAAATGTTTTTGTTATTTTTTTAACATTCAATTTAAACTTTAGAGACAGTTTGCTTGATAATCGGAGACTTATAAAAATCTGTTATGAATAATGATTGATTTTTAGGAACTTCTTTCTTTTAGTTGTTTTTCATTTTATCGTTAGTTACGATACTTAGATGTAGATTGTAAGCTTGTTATTACCAAAGCAACCTTGTCAAGCTGCTTGTGTAGCGCGAAAACATTTTTTTTTAGTAATACTATTAGCTGGGTAAAAAAGATAAAATTCTAAATGATATAACTTCAGCAATACTGACTTGATTCAATCGAAATAAGCGCCAACAGAATCAACACATCTTTGTCAACGTGTTGCAACCTCTAATCAGCACCTAGCAAAAGCAGCTTTCGTTGAATTCGATGGTTTGAGAAGGTTCTAGCGATGAGAAATTACTAAAGCGTTAGAAGAGGTGGTAGTTGACTGGCGAGGGGTCTAGGGGTATGGTGGGTGAGGCAGGACTTTCAATGTGATTAATTTTTGCAGGGTGATTTGTAAAACGTGCGGACGGGCGTTGTCGTGGAGCAGGATCAGACCTCTTGTGTTGATCAATATCATTTGCTGCTGACGCAGTTTTCAGTATATTTCGTATTTTTAAAAAAAAATAAGACTTTTAATTAGGTCTACTGCAGACACCATACTGTAACCTTAGTCTTTCTTTTGGTACGTTTTCGCTTCAGGGAAGTGCCTGGGGGTTTGTCGACGTCCCTAACGTCTTCGTTTATTGTACAGGATTCACTTTTCATCACTTCATGATTCGGTCTAAAAAAGGACCATTTTGGTTTCGCAGAAGCAAATCATGTCGATCGTTCAAGTCGACGGGTAAAGTGGAACACCATGAAACATTGTAATTGTGGAGACATCTCTAGAATTGTGAAAACTTTCATATGGTGAGACAGTTACTACTAGAGTTGTTTTTGAAAAAAAATTATGTCATGACATCTTTAGGTCTGCGAGGGGTCGAAATTTGTGTTTTTTTGAAGACAAAGTAAATTATCAGTTTTTAAAGTTCATAAGTTTCAAGGTATTTTATTCAATGTGGTATAACATTTGTTAGGGTTTGGCTAAAACTATAAAATAGTACTCCATTGTGTCATAAACAATTCTTAAAATTATTTCTTTAATATTAACAGGCAATTTTCGAGAAGTTTATGTAAATATAATACTATGAGATCGAATTTCGATACAAAGCCATTTTTATTGATGCTTAAAAAACTTTAAAAAGATATATTATCTGGTCTTCTGAAATTTAATTAGGACTATAGGATGCATTATTTGGGTTATAGGTATTAATTTTTTTGTTTTTAAGTAAAAGTCTGCTTTTTCTCTACACTTTATACTTTTTAATGATGCTCATAGTGTGTATCAAGATACCCCATGGGTGGAATACCTTGAACGAAATTTCTAATTTTACTTTAAATAGTCTCGTAATTTTAACCTGTTATATTTTGGTAATTTATAAATTCAATTTTTTAAGTATAAATTTATTATACAAAATAAACAAATTAAAAAAAGGCGTATTAAAATAATTATGAAGCAAAAATTAAAAGTGTATCATGGTGCCTGATTCTCCCCTATCTCCCCTATCTCCTTTTCAAGTTTTTTTTACCTTCCTAATACGTTTAAACCATCTTAGACTGCATTGCGACTGATGCCTAGTTCCTTTTTGAACCGTTTGCGTTGGGTCAGCTTCCATAAGAGTCCTCAAATCCTCATCGTGGAGAACTGTTTGACCGCTACAAAGTTTATTTTCAAGTCTGAAGTTTCCAGAACGAAATTTCTTAAATCATTGTTGCACGGTTGAATTAAACATGAGAAACATAGTCTAGAGATTAACTTTTCAAAGCGATTTCATGACACAGATACATCATGATAGATTCCAATAACTTCCTATAATCCCCTCTAGAAAATATGTCAGTACTCAGTGCATCCTTGCAAAACTGGATAATTTCCTAAACCTGGATTGCCAAGAAAGTAATGCTGATGGAATTGGTATTAAATTGGAAAGATCGACAGTTTCCTTTATGTCATTCCAGTTTGTTTGAAATCTTTTAAGCATTAAAATTTCTGGAGAATCTGTTTAATTTAATTTGCTCCCAGAAATAAGAGCAAATAAAAGTTAATTTGCTCTCAGAAATCTTTGAGGAGACATATATATGTAGCTCATATATATGTATCCTGCAGGCAAACTCTAATAAAATATATTCTTGTCTTTGACTGAACCTAGTATTGGTTCCTGAATGCTTTCTAGTATTTAAGGCAGTTGTGTCAAAACATAATCCCTTTAGAGTGTCACTTATCACATAGTCTTCCAGTACATTATCCAAAGCTTCATACTGAGCAGCTCCAGTTCCATTTTCCATTGCTGGAATTTCAAGAAGCTTAATTTCTCTTGATGTAACAACTTTATTACATCAAATGAAACTTGAACCTCGTTTTTTGTCAATCTCGTTTTGTGAATTTTGTCAATCTCGTTTTGTTTTTGTCAATCTAAAAGGAATTTTTTTTTAGAAAGATTTTCATAATAAATTATTAAGTGTATTAAGAGAATTCGTATTAATATGTATATATATATATATATATATATATATATATATATATATATATATATATATATATATATATATATATATATATATATATATATATATATATATATACTTTTTTAAATTTACCTATATAATTAGTAAAGGATCTTTTTATTTTTGGGTGTCTTTAGTATTTATTGTTGTTTTATGTATATAAACAAAATTTTATACTTACCAGTCTAAATATTGATAAAAAATTAATATTTCTAAAACATTGCAGTAAGTTAAAGTCTTGAAATAGTAGACACAATTGCTATTTACTGTTGACTAGTATAGCAACTTTATAATCGTTTGACTAGTCGATGCCAAAACATTGATGATTACATTGATATTAATTCTTCGAAGAAGGTCTTTTTCACAAGACATTAGCATGAATGACTGGCTCATCAAATTTCTTAACCTGTTCAAAATATATTTTAATTTCAAGAATGACCTTTTACAAACAACTTGTGATGCGGATTATGTCAACACAAATTTGTTAGTCATAAATTAATTTGACTACAGAAGACTATGCAAATTGAACTTCTGGAGAACAAAGTAACAATAAACAATAGATTTTTTGAAAGATTTGACTTTATTTCTATGTAAAAACAGTTTTAGATTCTACAGATTTAGATTATCGGATGTTGTCCGAGACAGAGCCAGATTCTTCCGTGTTAAATAACAAATTATATTCATCTACAAGAGTTATTTTGAAACTTTCCCATATCCTTGCAAAATCCCATAATTCTATTTGATGCTGATTTTTTGCAACCAACCCACCAGGAATCTCTCGGTATCCGTGGGCCCAGTTTAAGTCTGCCAGATACCCACACACCAAAACATAGAATTTAAATTGGAATTAAAAGGCGAATATGTCTGTCCATAAAGTTAGCTCGGAAACAAATGAAATTCCAAAATATTTAGGAACCAAAATGTTATCATAATTTCAATACTTATATTGTTTTTTTCTAAAGATAATAAAGCAATATTAAATAATATAATTTAAAATAAAATTCAAATAGTTTTAGGGGGCTTCATACTTCAATGAAGAAGAGAGGGAGGGTAAATCCCCAAGAATCGGTGAGGTAAGGGAGCAAATGATGTGTCCCCTTCTATATAAAGGTTTAATAATGCTTAGTTCTAATAATAATTTTCAGAATTTGGCCTAAATATTACGTAAAAATCCTTTTTTTTGATACTCTCCCACGGTCGTTTACAATCGCTATGTTTAGGTACGGATGCGTAAGAAAATACGAAAAACCTTTGAACTTTTAAAATGGCTACGGTTCTTAACTACAAAGAATATTTTATATGGCAACAGTCTATTTCTTATTTGATTTCTAAAAACTCAATTTTGTAGCTTTACTTTTAATGTAGACTTTTAATAGTATATTAATACAAAAGTTTTACAAAAGCATAAATAAAAAAAGGTTAAAAAATATCATAGCATAATTAAACCTTATTTTCAATTAATAACTTTTTAGTGTAAAGATTTGTTTATTTATTTGAAATCAATTTTCTAAAAATCTGACTGTAGGATTTCAACAATTTTTTTTTTTAACTTTAGATATATATGTTTTATATTTATGATAATTTTCTGGTCATTGCTTCAACTTTTTTTCGATATAAAAATCTGTTTTTACAATGATTATTTACTAATTTATTAAAATGTGTGTGTATATGTGTGTGTAGATAGATATAAAATTTTTTTTTTACAAAATTGTTAACGTAATAAATTGACTGGAGCAAGCAGAAGACAATGGTCTTATCATCTTTCCCCGTTAATTTCAATTTATTTTACAATAAATATCAATTAAATATAAGATAAACACAAGTTAAAAGATATTTAAATATATATAAATATAAAAACTCGTATGATTAAAATAGCCAAATAATTGTATCTTTACAAATACAAATACATTTAAATGCATTTTTATAAATATAACCTTAAGCATTTCCAGCTATTGTAAAAGTAAAAAAAAAAATCTCAAGACGTGTAAGAGTTGTTTAAAAATACGAGATTGTTTCAGTAATGTTGAGGTCAAGTAACTTTTGTTTAACAACGCATTTAAGATATTGAAAAGAGTTTATCGTTTTAATCTCATTTGAAATGAGTTCCAAAATGGTCTGCTTCTAGATATTAAGAATTTGGATTGTCTTAAAAACATTTTTGGAATATAGTAGTTTTGCTTAGAATATTTTGTTTTGTATTTATGATCAATAAGTTGGAAGTAATTATGGAATATTTTTGGGACCAAATTATTTTTTATTTTAAACATAAACTGAAGGATGCTATAGATGTTTTGTTCATAAATATTAAAGACTCTCAGTTCTTTCATTATTTGTTTAGCACTAGCATTTCATTAGTGAATATGCGGCATGCTTGCTTTTCTTTTATATAGATTAAGGCTAGTTTTGATTGGTAAGTACTTGCCCAGGCAGTATTGCAGTAGGGGAGATGGGGGCGCATTGATCGCCGTTGCAGTATTTTGAAAACTGCGAACA